TATGAAAACCAATTCACACTGTCCCATGGTCCATGCCCTGTGGCCCAGCCCCTGCAATGAAAGCTACTATTTTCCCCTAAAATATAGTCCTAGACCAATGTAATAGGTAAATTAACCTTTTTATATCATACTTTATAAGGATGTCATAAGAGGTATAGGCCTCTTGAAAATTGCAATGTGAAGCTTAAGGTGTAGGCATTTTGCAAATGGTGGTATAGACCTTGTTATCTTCTAGGGTGGGTAAGTTGCTTATCCACTTGCCAAAATCTTTAAAATCTCTTGCCCAAGTCTTTATCTCGAGTAACCATTAATGTAACAAACACTGGTATTGCAATTTGCTCGAGTAACTCCAACCCAAGAATCATCTGCCCAGATAAGTGAGTTATTTAGGCTCAGTTTGGAAGGAGTACAAATACAAATATGTAGAGTGCAAAATCATGTATTTTGTACTATTTTTATGTATTTATATTGTATATATTTGTATTTGTACCAAAAACAAAAAAGAGGCAACTTTGGTATTATAAACTTTTTTTTGAAGTGAGCTGTTAATGGCTCTAGACTGTACAATGATAGACGTCTAGGGTTAAATAATGAAAGTGGCCTATGGTTTAGCAAATGCACAAAAATTTTACTCTTTTGTTTGAAGAATTACTTGAAGTATCCTTAAGTTTTTTTACAATTGACATCATTGTTAGATACTAACGGAGGGCCCCTGGATTGGAATTGTAACATTGGTATTTATTACATTAAAAAAGACAATACTTTCTTAATAATAAACTTATAATTATAAGTACTCAAGTCTTTAAATTCATATAAAGACTTAAAATAGATCATCATGTGCTCTGCTTCAGCAAAGCATCTCATATAAAAGAGCACAATCATACAATGATGGTTTTGAGTTCTACTTCATAATTGCTCTTTGTTTTACATAGAGAACTCCTAGTTCAACCGAATGGTAGGACCCTTCGGCCTAGAAACCATCCAAGCAACCGGTTCCGTTTTACCCCAAACCTGGCCTCTGGCCAAAAATCGTTGAATCAGTTAATGACCCGTTGACCCGTTCAACGATTTTTGGCCATTTTTTACTTTTAATTATTTTTTAATTTTTAATTTTTGTTGTCAGAACGGGCCATCCATTTGAACCGGATGGTCATGGGAAGGGTGGACATTACAAGGGATTCCAAAATCTTGAAAGACAAATGTAAAGTGACCTTAAACACAGAAAAAAAAAATGGTAGTAAATCCACCAAACTAGAAAAAGCAAGGAAAAAATCAGAAAATCGAGTCCAAAGTTCTGCTTTGAGATGGAGCTAAACACATATGCAATCAAAGAAATAAACAAAGCAAATAATCTTGTAAGAAAATTAAAAAAAAACATTGTACAAGAAAACCCAAAGAAAAAACAAAAGGGAAGAAATAAAATAGTGGTAAACCCTAGACCATTTTGGAGGATCTTGAAGAAGACCAAACATGAAAAAAAAAAGAACTTACTACACATGTTTGAATAAACCCCACAGTAGAAAAAACCTTTAAATAGTGAAAATCCAAAAGCACAAAAAACCATGGTTTTTTAACCGTCATTGACCCGGACGGACGAACATTTTGGCCTAAGAACTATCTAGGAAACTGGTTCCATTTTACCCCAATCCCTATTGACCTGGGCCAAAAACCGTTGAATCAGTCAATGACCCATTGACCTGGGCGATCGAACCATCGACCCGTTGACCTGTTCAATGGATTTTGACTATTTTTTTATTTTTTAATTGTTATCATTTCTAATACATCTGTGGGGCAGGCTCGTACACATTGAGTACATCCTATACATGTATCATAAATCTTTACTGAATGWGACATTGGATCTTTAAATTTTTGTGAACGTCATAAAATTTCGATCTAGTAAAGTAATATAATAAATAAATGCTGTCCAGGCAACCAGTTCCGTTTTATCCCAATCCCAATCCCTAGCAAAAAATCGTTGAATTGGTCAACGACCCATTGACTTGAGCGGTTGAACTGTCCACCCATTGATCGGTTCAATGGTTTTTAGCCCTTTTTTTAATTTTTGTTGTTAGAACGGGCCATTCGTGAACTGGATGAACAAACCACTATTTTTTTTTAATTGGGAACCATCCACACAACCGATTCCATTTTACCCCAATCTCGGTCCTTGGCCAAAAATCGTTAAATCGGTCAACGACCCATTGACTCGAGCGGTCGAACYATCAACTCGTTGACCCGTTCAGTGGTTTTTGGTCATTTTTTTTTATTTTTTTAATTTTTGTTGTCAGAACGGGCCGTTCGTTCGAACTGGATAGTTGAACTGTCGACTTGAAAACCGGTGGCCAAAACGGTTCCATTTTCGAATCGTATGAGTACACACTCGAATGACATAACACGTATGATATTGCTTAATGGACCTCACACATCCAATTTTTTGCCTATAATTTTTGTTGTCAAAAACGGGACGTCCATTTGAACCGAACAGTGAAACTGACGAACCAAAAACCGGTGGCCAAAACGGTTACATAATTTTTTGCTTGTAAATTTTTGTTGTCAAAACGGGACGTCTATTCGAATAAGACGATCAAACCATCAACCCGAAACCTATGGCAAATAAAAGGGAAATCTATTGAGGGGAGAAATGGGGTGATAGGACAGGGGTAGGGAGCAGTAGGACAATAGAGATAAATTAAAAGAAGAGGGTGGAAGAGTCACACGTTGGAACAGATATCACGTACATAAAAAATGAAGAACCTCGCACGCACACTACGAATCCATGTTTTGTATTAACAAATATATATAAATCGATGGAAAATAGTGAAATGTCAAATTTATCTTTCATTATTTCTCAAATTTTTAAAATAAAATCGAATTCACAAAAAGTTTGTTAATATAACAACAAAGCTGCTAAAATAATTATAACTTCCATGAAATTACTATTCCGAAACTCAACTAAAGTCTCAAACACTATTTGTTACCCAAATCTTCATTGATGGAAAACAACCTGTATTAAGCCAAACTTTATAACATATATTTAGACCAGCATATCAAAAAAGAGAAAGGAAAAAGAAACAAAAGATGAAAAAAATCGTAAACTTATAGTTTGGGAACCTTGCTCGCAACATTGAAATCATTCCATGTGCCAAGACTTGAAAATATTTGAAGGCATCGGTTGAGCCATCTAAGTCAGCTGGGCTAATAATGGTCAAAGCCATCTAATTCTAAGCAAATATTTGGTGCTTTGGTTGGCTCCCTGCCTCCCTTGGAACTGAAACCATTCAAGTCAGCTGAAGATTCAACTCAATTTCTGACGACAATCCGATGAAGAGAAAGCCATTTTAAGCCAGAACTCAAACAATTTCTTTTGCCTCGACTAATAAACTGAAATGGAATTTACCTTTAAAAAATAAAATATATTTTTCGATTCAAATCTACCGTCAAATTAAAAGTTCAAACACCTTTTACCAAATGTGCAACATCAGCATACTCACGAATCCTCTTCAGGCGCTTCTGCATCTAAAATTTATTGAAGCTTTTATGCAATAAGTTCCATTCTACGGTTCTACCATTCTATTTAATCTGTTTCTGTTTTGGGATTTCGATTTTCATTTTTACAGGAACTTTTGGAGCCATCAATACCACAACCATGATCAATGTTCTAAGAATCAAACTGGGTATACAACCAAGGAGGCAGGGACGGAGTCAGGGGACCCAAGGGAGCCATGGCCCTTCTATGGTTTAGAAATCCCTACTATAATATGATATTTCATGTAAATTCCCCTCCTCCTCCCACTCCCCACCCCAATGGTTGATCCTCCTATAGACTCATCTATATTTATTTCTCCTCCAAATTCATTTTAGCTTTTGGCTCCATTTATAAAAAAATTCGAGAGGAGAGAGTTCATGGGTCAAAGGTTCAATCGAAGGTCAAACCATAATGACATGATATATACATATGTATAATATAGTCATATAAATATTATATACAATACAATTTATAACTTTTAATATACTTAAATATGGGGTATTGATGCCAATTTTCTTAATTTTAAAATAAATGATTAAGGTTCAAGTCCCTTGATTTACATTTTCTTTAAATATGTGTAATAAAGTAATATGTACAATAAAGAATCATTAGTTAACAGGTAGATTAATGGTAATTAAGCAATATATAAAAATAAAAAATCACCATGGGTTTGAATCTTGCTAAGCATATTTTAAGCTAAGGATCTGGGTGGTTTCATGAAACTGAGATTGATTGATCAATTTTTTGATTAAATTGGCCGATTAATCAGATTTCATCAATTTTTAACCAAAGCGGTTTATTGAGGTATGACTGTATCGGCCAAGGCCCAAGGTCATAGCTCAACTAGTCTGACCACCCGACCCGACTTTGTAAACATTGATTATGATTGTTGTATCAGCAATACTTGTGCATATGAACGAACTGTAACGATGAGAAAAATGTGGATTTTAGAAGAGATGGGGTGTTGCTTACCTTCTCTACCAAGGTTTATGAGGTGGGAAAATAAGAGAGAAGGAGAAGAAGAGAGAGCAAAAGCTTTTATAGAGTTAAGGAAACACTAGATTCTAGATTCTAGAGAGATGACAAGGGACTTTTAATCTAAGTTTCATATAAGGTTATAATATCATTTTGTTTTAAAAGAACCACTATGAAAAGATAGTTTTGAAATAAAAAAAAAAAAAAATTATTTTAATCACGTAACATCACATATGAACGAACTGTAACGATGACAAAAGGTAAAGGAGAATTTTGTACATTATCATAAAATTTAAGAATACCTAGGATAAGTTCTTTTTTGTTCATTTACTTAAATCATAGGGGTAATTTAAATATTTAACCCTTTTTATATTATAGGGTCCGGTCAACAAGCTACAAGCTATATAACTTGAATTTTTTTATGGCATATCAGTAATTTCTCAAACCTATACTAGTAATTAACCAAAATTAATAAACTATATAAAATTAAATAGTTCGACCTCTGCAGAGCAGGAGAACGCGCGAAGTCATCTGCAAACCAATTTCAGTTATTTCTAATACAAATTCTGAAATCAGTATGGTCTCTCAATATATGTTTCTACTATTTACTTTCTGCTTCTTCTTCTTCATCGAATTATCGTTATTTCTATCTTTTTTTAATTGAATTACATTCTATGCGCTGGGCCAATTCTCTGTTAATTTAATGGCGACCCTTTAGATATACCATAGGTCTCTTATGGCTTAATGGATCAATGCACAGTTCAATATACAAGTCGTTGTGTCGTCTGACTCGTGTCAAGTTCTGAGTGACGATTACAGTTAGGGTTTGATTTATGGTCTGGACTCTGGAAGACGATCCCAGGTTAGGGTTTTTGTTCGGGTTTGAGTTCAAGCTGCAAAGATGTTGTAATTTATGATGGAACTTCTGAAGTACAGTTAGAAGTAGGTTCTTTGCGATGTTCGTTTTCAGTTATAGCTGGCTTGGTCTTTATTACTTTTATCCTCATTTTAGATTTTAGAGTGTTAGAATAGGGTTGAGATGTTTTATTTTATTTCTCACTTAATTTGGCCTTATAAAATACCTTTCTTGATCTTTATGTAAGAACTTATCTTAGGAAGAAAGTGGTTGGTTTGTTGAATTTGCTTGCAAAGTGTCATTCTCTATGACAGAAGAGTTGACATGTTTCCACATGGGAATGATGCAGATTCGTGAGCAGGTTGTTTTCATGAGAAAACCTGGTGCACCGTATCTTTGTAAGTCAACTTGCAAAGAGCCAAACCTCATCTCTTTTATATGATCATGATGACCTCTTCTCTTATTGTAAATCTAACAACTCATGGGGGCTTACATCTTCAAGAGTTTCTCAGTAGAATCAATATGTTATTTCATAGTGAACTGTGTAGTTTCTTTTCCCTTTCTGCTCTTTAATGAACCCTAAACATAGAAATTAAAAATGGTTTATTTTATTAATTATATGTATGTTACTACCTCAATCCTCATCACCCCATAAATAAGAGAAAAAAGAAAACATGTTGGTACACTTTCTGCACACTCTGCAAGCATGGGAATCCAGCCACACATTGGCAATATCACCCTATGAATTTAACATACATGTATGGGAGATATTCCCAATGTGTGGCTGGATGCCATGTGTGCAAAGTTTTTGCTTGCCGAAGATCCGGGCTCTGGAATTTAACCTTCCTGTTTATGGTCCAAAACAACCTTTACAAAACAAATCTTTAATCCGGTCTGGAGTTGTATGTTTTCTTTGATATATAACAGAAAGAAGCTGCATTAAGATGATAGATGCCAAGGAAGAAAACATGTGATATGAGGTGTTCTGAAATGTGGATATTAACTAATTTTCCCATATTTGTATTTTATGAGGAAACTTATTTATCGAGGAACGCTGTAAACAAAGATGTTCTGTGCATCTGGATCTTTTTTCCTAATTTCAGTTAGCATTTTTTATAATGACACAATGCACTAAACTTGCCTTCCCATCAGAATTGATTTAAATACATTCGGTTTTGACTTTTGTGCCAAGCCCTGTCCTATCTATGTGGGTGTTTCTAGTGCTTGGAATACCTCTGGAGCTGCTCCAGATGAAAGCCACATAAAACTGCTAATTTTTTTCCCACCTTACTCATGTACAATGTCTCCAACTGAATGGCATATTGCTTTGAGTTATGGTGAATAAGCCATCAAGTAGGTTGTGTACTTATGGCTGAACAACATGTTGGATTGTTTGCTATACTCCTGAATAGTTTATTATATTACCTATTTTATCCACTTAAAGGAATAAATCAATCAGTGCAGTCACTTGGCCATTATTAATTCATCCATAGGATTCATGTAAGGTTCAAAGTATTGACATGTGCGATACACTAACTGCATATTGTGTGTTTCAATTACCTTTTAAAAATGGCCACATGTCCTAACTCCTAGTATTTAGCTTATTGGTGGGTTCAAAAACTGATATGTATCGTACAACTCATGCTGGTACATATCGATATTTTGAACTTGAATATGTGCATAACTATAACATGTAACTGTACAAGTTGTAAGTGTACATGTTTCTCAATGAAAACATTCTTAAGTTTTCCACTTTTAGCAAAAAAGGATAAAAAGCCTATAGCTTTGATGTGGTAAGAGATGGAGTCTAGAGCTCCAGATCCTCTGAGCTGTTGACCAGAATGATTTTTCTACTCTACCTCTTCACATAAGCCACATATCCCGTGCAGAAACTGGAATCTCTCTTACATAAGCCACATGTCCCATAGGTTGGTCACCTTTAGTCTGATGCGCCAAAGAAATGGCACATGGCAAATAAGACATTGGCATGAAAGATTAGTCCCCAAACATCCTCTCTTTTATGGAGAATATACCCATCCTCTGCCACGTTTTGCTCAACAATTTCTGTCCACATTTTTTAACAAATTTATGAGCTTTTGGATGATGTGCAAATCTCCTACTGGGCCCAGACTTTTTCAGTGGCATATTCAGAGGATGTGCTTAGTTATCAGTCTTTTTGATCTACCATGTGGCCATGTATTTGGTCACATCAGATCATGGACAATTCAATCAATGGTTATCCATTAATGTCAATATTTTTCCTTTACCCTAGTTAAGGGAAAATGAATGTTCTTCCTTGATTTACCTACTTGATACCCTAAAGCAGGTTTTGTTGGGCTCTTCCCTTGAGGATTCTAGAATTTGATCATCCTCTCTAGATGGCCTCTTTACTTGCTCCTCCTCCTTTAAATCCCTTACCTTGTCTAACATCCAAGGCGTGGAATTCGAGTGAAAGAAATTTGGTGTAATCCTATCCCACTTAAAATTCAAGCTTTCTTCTAGGAAATTTTTCTTAGTAAGTTAAATACTTGTGACATGTTGCAGAAAAGAAGGCCTTTTGTTTGCCTCTCTCCTTACTAGACCTGTTCATGGGCCGGGCTTCAGGCCTGACTTTACACTGTTTCGGGCTTGGGATTCGAGCCAGTCCCATTCAAATTTTGGGAAAAACCAAGTCTGAGCCTGGCCCATGAACAAGTCTACTCCTCACATGTGCTTCCTTTGTAGGGGTAACGACGAGACATTATCTCATTTACTACTCTCCTGTCCTTTTGTTTGTGCTTAGAATTTGGGAGTTCTTTTGATGAAATAAAAGAATGTGGGAGTTTTTTCTTGGTTCTCTTTTTGGTTGCAAGTGGGTTCCACCCCAAGACGTGGAAGGTCTTTTCAACCCTAACTTCTTGAGACAACCTAAGTAAAGGGGGAAAGCGCTTTTGAGAGCCACTAAGGCATCAATTTGTTGGGTAGTGAGGAATAACAGAATTTTCCTAGAAAAGAGCTGGAATCTGGAAGAAGATGATAGACAATATAAAAATAAAGGTAGTTTTTTGGGCTAAGACTTTGGATATCTTCAAGACACTCTCAGTAACTGATTTCTTCAGGGCCTGGACTGATATAGAACAATCATCAAGAGCAAAAGACAGAATTGGGATGGATTGGAAACTCCTAGAAGGCAACACAGTAAAATTAAACTTTGATGGGAGCTCTCTTGGCAAACTGGGTATGGCTGGAATAGGAGGGGTTATCAGAAATTCTAAGAGACTCTTGGCTATATTCCCAGGTGCAATTGGCTTTTGAAATGCTTTGAAGGCCGAACTGTTGGCCTTATTGCAAGGCTTGAGGTTAGCTAAACAACTGGCATTTAGGATGATTGAGGTGGAAGGAAACTCACAAGTAGTCATATCTTGGGCTAAATCCAATTGGCGCATTCCTTGGTCCCTCCAGTATGTACCAAGGGAGGTGGAAAAGATTGCAAAAGAAATGGTGCTTGAATTTAAAAGGGTTAGAAGGTGTGCAAATGATTTAGCTGACTCATTAGCTAAACAAGGGGTAATGAGGCAACAACTGTTTTGGGCATCCATGTAATTTGGGGATTGCAAGTAGGGATTGACACTATGGTTAAAAAGTTGTACTAATCATTTCTTCATTCCAAATATTTTAATAAAGTCACTTTTCTATTGGTCAAAAAAATATTTTTCCTTTATTTAAGCTGATCAAAAAGAAATATTTTTCCTTTATTTAAGGAGGGATTTAATTCTTTGGAAGGAATTTAACTCTCTCTCTCTCTCTCTCCAATAAGACTCTTTTTATCCTAGAACTAGAGTGCAGCCTTACTCTTGATGACCTGTAGCTGTTTGGTTTGCTTTATATCATTGAAGGCTGTAAGGTTCAAGGTCAAGCACGTGATGGAGATTATCAACCTTCTAACTGATTCATACCCAGCCAAACTTATTTTTGATTCTGTCATCTCTTTCTTGATAAGTAATAAAGTAATTTATTAAGATTAATCAAGATGAACCAACATAAGGTTCAGAATAGAGTTCCCACAAAGAGGCGTGAGGTGTTGCCTCAAGACAAAGCAAAATTACAACTGAGCCCAAAACAAATGATCCCTATGCACCCCTTGCTTAGTGAAAAGGTCTGCCAGCTCGTTAGCTTATCTCCTCTCCCACTGAACTCTAACCGTTAAATTGGAGGTTAGCCACTTAAATCTTCTTATCACCCCCTATAGGACCCACTACAGTCTCTGGCTCTTCCAGCCACCCAATTACCAATTTAGAGTCTCCTTCAATGACCAATCTCGTGAAGTTCATTTCTTTTGCCAGCTATACTCCCTGTAAAACTGCTTGGACCTCTGCACTAACTGCATCCCCCTACTCCGATTGGACCAGAAAACAAGGTAACAATCTGACCCTCTGCATTCCTAAAAACTCCTTCAATACCAGAAGGCCTAGGATTACTGAGGCTGCTACCATCAAAGTTTAACTTGATAAAGCCTTCTTCAGAGGGCTTCTAGGCAACAACCGGCTTGTTCTTAACTGAAGAAGAATTTGCAACCACTACCCAGTTTCTCCACATGTCAATTAAAGAGAATTGTGAAAAAAGATCTGATGCTTTAGTCCAATTAATAGACTGTTCTGCAAACAACCCCAAACAGAATCCTCATCCCTCTCTTTATCATTGGAGATTTTGTTATTGCTTTCCTCTCATACTGTCCATACTGAAGCAGCCCTAACACATCTCCATAATACTCTTCCTCTTATCTTAGGCCACCTAAAGATTGTAGGGTCAAAGAGTCTCTCAATTTGCAAAGGCAACGTCCACTTGCAACAAAAAGACCAAAAAATCTTCTCCCAATGCCCCATGACAAAGGGGCAAGAGATTAGTAGATGGTGACAGCTTTCTTCATTAGCTTTGCAAAGGATACATCAATTTGGGGAAATACTAAGGTTGGGTCTTTTCTTTTGCAAGATGTCCAAAGTGTTTACTTTTCCAGGAGAAACTTCCCAGCAAAGGGCTCCCACTTGGGGGGGGGATTCCTTTACAAAAGAAAGGCTGATGGTTAGGGGCAGAACACACCTGAGAGAAAAAAAGAAGCACAAGAAAAAATTCCCGAAGTGTTAGGATTTAGGAATCCAAATTCGAGCATCAGGTTTGGAGTGGTCTAAACAAACCGGGTCAAGGTTTTAAGTAGCAGAGCAGCTTGGTCTAGCTCAAAGACTCTCAGATCCCTTCTAAAACCCATATTCCAACTTTTGATTTTGTCATCTCATCAAAAGTGAAGATGCCATTCAGATTATTTAGCTTGTGTTGTAAGATGTCAGGTAGTTGTACTTGTACTGCCATTAATAGAGTCAACCAGGCAATGTACCTTTTCTTTTTTTTGAGAAGAGAAAAGGTTTCGTTCATTAATAAGAAAAAAAAATTGTACAACCAGAGGCTGTACAACAGGGGAAATACAAAAAACTCAAAAATAGAAACACTAACTTGTCTGTCCATGCCCCACTGTATTGATGACCAAGAAATCAGTTTGCCCAATATTTTCTGCCATACTTCCTCCAGTTGACAGCTTTTGTTCTGTAAAATCCTATCCTGCTCTCGGTTACAGTTTCTTTCCTTCCAGATCAACCAGAACACTGCTCAAAGTCCTCCACTGATGCTGGGCAATATCCCTTTAAGGCAAAAAGCTTGAACACTTTCTCCCAGATACTGTAAGTAAAATTGCAGTGCAAAAACAAATGATTAGCGGATTCTTCCATACTGTTGCATAGAACACAGGCCACTGAGTCAATCTGCACTCTTCTCTTTAGTGGGTTGTCCTTGTGAAGAGCTTATTTAAGTATGCTGACAAAACAAAGGAAGCTAGCTTTGAGGGAATGCATTTGTACCATATTTTACTCAAAGGAAACTCTTGATCATCTTGCCGAGTCAAATTATTATAAAAGGATTTTACAGAAAATTGTCCAGATTTTTCCATCAGCCACAGTTTTACTGTCTTCTATGTTGGTATCAACTTGCAAACTATAAAGCTTCTGGAAGCTCCAAAAGGTTCAATCTCCTAGTCATTTAAGGCTCTTCTGAGCAGAGGACACCAGACACATTCTCCATTTGAAATCTGCATATAACCAGCCACCTTTGCATCCTTGTCAACTCAAATAACTCCGGTAATTCATCCTTTAGGATATGATTTCCACACCAGAAGTCCTTCCAGAACCTAACCAAGGTCAACCTTTTATTGACAAGGGTGTATGTGGAAGACCCTTAATGGTTAGCCTCTACATGGATGCATGTGTTTTAATCTCTGTTGTTATTTACAAAGCACCTTTTTAGATTAGGTATTTGTGATAAGAAAGTTTCTTTTTGACTAATTGTACTATTTTTTTGTTTAAAATACTTTTACAAAAACCCTTCTTTGGTTTGTATTAAGAACTTCAGAATATAGCTTAATGCTCTTTTCCTTTCTTATTCTATGTTAGAGAGAGGAAAACAAGAATTACCTTTCTCATTTCATTGATTTCTCAACTGAATCTAGAAAAGAAGGTAAAGATATGGGAAAGGAACCATAGAACTTGAAATAATGTACTGAAGTTTATTTTAGTATTTTTTTTTCAGTCTTTAATGGAGTATATGAAAGGGTTTCATGTACACATAAGGTTGGCACTTGCCTTCTATGTTATTTCTTTCCATTTTACTGTATTTACATAGTTAACTGAGGATATTTTCATTTACTAGGGTGGCAGATGTGGTTTATTTAAATTACAAGGGTAGACCAGAGTAGTTAATCTGGTCAATGGTCCAAAAAATCCAGATCCTAAGATATGATAAATAACTTCCAAGGAAAAAGAAAGACAACGTTTACTTGATTTGAGTATCCTATAATCAAGGAAAGTTAAAACAATTAAATTGATCTATTAAGTGAATTTAATTAGTTATGTAGAATTTAAGGCATGAAGTCGATGTTCTGATGGGTTGGTGCCATAAACTGGATGCATTAGATTTAGCGAATTAGATTCACTAGCCAAAAAAAGTATAATGATTCTGACAACATTGCTTGCTTTGCCTTATTTTATCAAATTCGGTCTCTCTATTTAATTTAATCATGAAAGATTGAATCTTTTAAAGGATGAACAGCATGTAAAAAGAAAATTACGAAGGTACTATTAACTAACTAAACCTAATGCCTTTTAAAACTCTCTTGTCCACTTACACGTATATCCATGCTCTGATGCCACTTGAGACCTTCGAAGCTTTTTCAGATTTTATGCCCCAGCATTTCCAGCTTTCTGTTTCAGATCCTGCTTTTGGTCCAGTTCCTGCTTCTTGGTACTTGGGTTGCTATCTCATTAGGACTACGAAGTATTATTATGCTCTCAGAAGAATGCTGTTTTATTTTTATTACTTCTTCACGGATCAGATTTGTTCTCACAAGGAGATTGTTTTCTCTCCATGGATCAGATTTACTCTCTGCCTTTTCCCTCCTCTCATAGATCAGATTTACTCTTTGCCTTTTCCCTCCTTTCATAGACTGTTATGATTCTTCAGTACTTCTATTATACTTTTTAGTTTTTTTATTTATTCTTTCCTATTACAATTTTGTGGTGATTATTTTGAAGATTACTGTTTTTTTAGGCAAATTTAGGGGAGAGGGACAAGGTGAAGGCTGGATTGGATCCCAGATCAGTGGGAACTACATCCACTGACTTTACTAGTTGTTCCAGGTTATTGTTTTCTCCTCATTTAAGCCATGATTTAAGTGTTTTTTATGTGGGTTTAAAAATGAGGTTTTTATGCTCTTTCTTTTATAAAACAGTTTTTAGGTTGTCTTACTCTGCTACATCTAAATGGGACTCTGAGGGCTAATACTTTATATGGTGTCCTAATTTCTTTTAATTGTTTCAGACGCTTGCCTTGCAATGGCCAGTAATCCTCAATCATCTGCGGCACAGGTAGCATTTATAATCTTTTTTCCATAGAAGCTCTTCTATTTGTTTAGATTTTTGCTGAACCCTTATAAATGATTTTCTGTTTTTTTCCCTTTATTGTGAGAAAGCCACTTTGTCCTCCAATAGTTGGTTCAGCTGGTCTTCCTCAAAACTTTGGTCCTCCAATATCCATGCAAGTAAGTGGTGTCTTTTTATGAGTTCTCAAAATTTTCCCACCTTTTCTTTTATATTACTAACTTGTTCTCTTAAGCATTCTAATGCATGCTATTATTATTATTATTATTCAATCTTCATTGCAGTTTCGACCTGTGGTTCCAGTGCAGCAACCACAGCCATTTATTCCGGCTGCTTCTCAACAGTTTTATCCGATTGGCCAAGGAATTTCTGGATCAAATGCAGGAATTTCTTCTGCCCAAAATCAGCAACTCCAGTTTTTCCAACCAACTCAACAGCTACCTCCAAGGCCTGGCCAGCCAGGTCATGGCCCACCTTCATCACAAGCAATTCCAATTTCTTATTCTCAGTCAAACAGGCCTATTTTATCTGGATCTTCACAGCCTCAGCAAAATGCTCAACCTATATCTGGTACTGGTATAGGTGGCACGGGCATACCTCTTTCATCATCATATACTGTAAGATTTAACAGTTTCTTTCATGTCGATGCTACACTTTTTGAGTGTTGGAGAAGCTTCATTTTTATTTTCATGTAATGATGTTTTTGCAGTTTACACCACTGTCTTATGGCCAGCCACAGAATAACATAAATACCTTTACCCACTACCAGCCAGTGTCTCAAATGCATGCGCATGTGGTACCAGCTGCAGGACAACCTTGGTTGCCACCTGGAAGCCAAAGCACACCTCTTGTTACTCCTGTGCAACAGACTGTTCAACAACCTTCAGTTACAGCTCCTACTGTTCCAGTAAGTGTTATGTTTCATGTTCCATTTCTGGGTCATTCCTTAACTTACTAGTTGCTTATATATATGATTCATGCCCATGGTTACTGATTTAAAGAATTTTTTTTTGTGGCATGTTTATCTCTTTTTTCTTTTTTGTTCTCATTCTCCTCTTTGCAATTTGCATTTCTTGTTTATGGGGTTTCTTTTATTGGCATTTCAGGCAACAGCTGTTCAGCCTAGCCCTACTCAACAGTCCTCGTCAGACTGGCAGGAACATACTTCACCTGATGGCAGAAGGTATAGTTTGAGTCCATTTGTTATGCATGTTTTGATATTTTTGATAATAGATTGAATGTGAATTTATTTTATATTGATCAAGAAAATCTGAAACTATCTCGTGGACATATTATTTCCATTGTTTTGGTGAATTTCTGGTCAATAGTTTGTTTATTGTCTTCTCAAGTCCATTTTTTTTATAGCTTTTGAACTACCTTTGAATGATACTTCTCTACAATTTTCAGATATTATTACAACAAGAAGACACGGCAATCTAGTTGGGAGAAGCCCTTAGAATTAATGACCCCTATTGAGGTGAGTTATGTTAAGTAATATTTCTTGTTACATAATTGAAAAGCTTCATCTCCTATGGTTTGTCAATCAGTCTATTGATTGCTTTGCAAGTTGAATACATATCTCCCCTTTGTGGTTGTTGGCAATTGTAGCTGTGCTTAAATTGTTCAAAATTGTTTTATGTGGATTCTCTGTTTCTTTGCATGTTCTTCCACTGGTTTGTAGATGTCATGGCAACTCAGGAGAAAAAAACGACTGCTCTATTTGCTCACATTTGAAGGTGGGGTTGCACTTTCTCAAGGCAGGCAATTATTGCTATTTACTTTTTTATTTCATAATGTAGGGACATTTTTCCTATAAATTTGGTGGTTGGATAGGATGTGTCATGGAAAGGGATTAGTGGTGCTGTTTTGTTCATGAGTTTTAGACTTTTTAGGTGAGATGCTTTTTCTATTTTTTCTTCTTGTGATGAGAGAGTTGATGGTAATTTCTCCTGATGGACATAATGTTTTGATGATAGATGTATAGCTATGTACTCATATTCCCTACTTTATGCTTTTATTTATGTTTGCTTTTAGATATTTGAGTAGTTAATTTGAGGTTTAATGACCACTCGATTATCACATAATTATTGCAAGCATTTATGTTCTACTCTGAAGATGCATCCAAGTGCTTACTGGAGTTTCCTCGCATGCTGAAGTTAATTACATGCTTTATCATGCCTTAAAGATGTATTCTTTCTTTCCTTTTACTACTTGATTATTAAATCTATCTCCAACTGTTAAGAGTATTTTTAACCAGTTTCTGTTTTTCACCTTTAGTTTGTTAGAGTTTAATGATGTATTACTGATCAAGAAAATTTAATGATGTTGCTTTTTGTTAATGTTGTTTACCTTCACATGCTTTCATGTCACTTACTTGACTTCTATAGCATTTTAAGGTTGGTCACAGGTACATTTGCTACTCAATTGAAAGGTATGGGATGCTATGGATCTTTGCTGATTTGCATATCTACTGTTATCATATCTATGCAATTAGTTGATATAATTCGTTCTTCATGGGCTTCATGGTGTTTTATTTTCTGAAATCAAGGAATCTTACGAGATATGTTTAGAACTGTTGAATTAATGTACCTGATTACTGAACATCTTGTTCAACCACTTAGTTTGCTTGTGTAATTTGCTAATTCGTTTCTCATAATGCTGTAAAGGTAACTGTTAGCGTAGGGGTATTTCTGTCTTTATACCTTGATTGATGTTGCTGATCTGTAATGTTGTGTTGAAACATGTGCTCTTAACTTAAGTAAG